TCTCTGGCTAACCAGTCATCTTCCGGGGCCATACAGGGAGATGTAAAGTTGGTAAGTGAGAGAGAAGCAATATTGTTTGACAAGGTTAGCTTTTTAACTTTTTTTCAGAATTATGCCCTGTGGCTTCTATGCCCAGCATTTGTCCTGAGGTATCTTTACCACTTGGAAGAATTATGATACTCGGTAATTTCGATATGAGGCACAAATTCTACTTAGGGGTTGTAATTACGAAGGAAGAAGAGAAGCTATAGAAGTAGCAGACAGAAGAAGACATGGGAAGATTGATTATTTCTTTGATGTATCTTCTTGTAGTGTAACATAAGCATGTATAGGTTTTAAATTACTAATTAAATTGCGTGCACACATTAACATAATAGGAATACAGCTATATAAGCAAAGCAGACCTACAATTATCAGCCATATCCAGTGAAACCAAGAAAACCAGTTAGGCACCCTAGGCATCTGTGAAAAATTATCAATGATATGATGGATATTATCTAACTGAATTTGAATATTTTGAGAAAACTCAGACAAATTAAATGGTGCTCAGATTTATGACCTGAGTTCTAGAGTGGTGGTGGTGCTGTTCTCTGAGGTAAGAACCCCAGAAGCAGGAACTGGTTTGAGAAAAAGTTGTGGATGAAAGTTTGTTATGCTTGTGGGACATCCATGCAGTAAAATCCAATGGGCAGCAACTGGCATACACGTGTCTGAACCCAGAGAGAAACAGGCTGGAGCTGGAGACTGGGGAGGGTTTCACCTCAGACAATGGGTGATGCTGTGGACATAAAGCTGCTCGACCAGGGAGGATGTGGAGAGTGTGGCCAAGAATACAGCCTGGAGAAATATTCATCTTAAGTGGCTCTCAAACTTTAGTGGATATGATTACTACCTGCTGGGGGGTAAAGATACAGATTCCCAGGCCTAGCTCTCGTTCGATTCAGGAGGTCAGAGGGAGACCTGGGAATCTGCTTTGCAACCTAGTTCCTGCCCTTACGCTCCCAGTACAGGAGATGGAAAATTCCATTCCATCCTGGTGAGATGGGTTTTGGCTGAGGAGACCTGGAGCAAAGTTGAGAGGAGGTTTATTTGATTTGACTGTACTTTTTGGTGTGGAACACGTTTATTCTTACAGCCTGAGGGGAGGAGTGAGTGGCGAGGGAGGCTGAAGCACAGTAGACATCTCCTCCTTCCCCTGAACTGAGTGCTGAGTGGGAGGACCCCTGAGCAACTGGAGACAGAAGACCTACAGGGGCACTGCAGCTCAAAACAGCGAGGACTGTGGGAAATGTCTTGGGGGACATCAGTAAGAGTTGAGGTGGGCTGGCCTCAGGCCTCTGCAGTGTGGCTGAGGGAAAAAGAGCCTGTGGTCAGAATTCAATGGACCCTGGAGGGTGAGATGGACAAGCCACCGCAACGTCTCTGAGCCTCACTTTCCTCAGTAAAAGGAGAATGGATTGCACCCTGCCTCCCACTGTACAACATAGTGGTTAAGAGCCCAGGCCCCATGTCAGTTTTTCTTGGAATCCCAGCTCTGCTTAGGTCTCTCAGACCTTGGGCGAATCATTCCCTGTGACTCTGTCTTCTCACCTGCCAAGTGGAGATAGCAACAGTCCCCCCTGGTGAGTTCCTCTCTGGCCTCCAGGCTCTGCTCATCTGGTCCATTCAGTTTGAAACGCTACTTGCCACCCTTCCCCCAACCCTGTCCCAATCTGATGTCTCCTGCTCGGCCTGGAGGGATTCTCCCTGACCCCATCACCCCCGTTATCATGCTGTAATTACACGCTTCATTATTTGTTGCCCAAACCAGGCTGGGCTCCAGGACGTCAGGAATCTGGTCGGGTTGGTATCACTACCATGGAGCACCATGGAGCACCGTGTGTTACAGATGATGGGCTCTGGGACCAGACAGCCCAAGGTCATCGGTCTGGCTCCCTTGCTATGAGCTGTGTGACCTTAGGAAAGTAGTTTAACCATTTTGGACATTTGTTTTCTCATCCAAAAGCATAATTCTGCAAACACTGATGTAACTGATTTTAGCAGAAATGGTGCTAAAATTGCAGAGATGGATGAGCAGGATGTTCACATACTATTAAATCACCCCAGAGTCTTTATTATTCACAGATCCACTGGAAAATTGGGCAGACATCCTCTTTACCAGCCCTCACCGGACCAACAGCAGGACCCACAAGCATTATGTGCCTCCTGCTGATAAAACAGTGGTGCATATCACTCAAGTGTGTTCTGCCCCAACTTTTTAACCTAATTCTAATGCCGTGTGGGGAGAATCACACAAATTAAGGTTATAGGATAGTCTATAAAGCAATTGGCCCAGACTATCTAAATTTGTCATTGTCATGAAGGAGAAAAGGGTAAGGGGTAAGAAGATGAAAAGAAGCTGAATTTAAAGAGACTAAAGAGATGGAACCAAAGGCAAGGTGCCAATTGGATCCAGGATGCAAGGTGTGGTCTTTCTTGGGACAACTGAGTAAATTTAAATATGAAGTGCATACTGGCTAATAATTTTGCATCAGTGTTAAACTTCTTGGGTGTGAAAATGGTAGGATGACGCCTTTGTTCCTAGGAGATACATGCTGAAGTACTGATAGATATCAGCAGTTCAATTGCAAAGGGAATATAGTACTGCTGCAAGTTTTAAACATAGGATTCGCGCGTGCGCGTACACTTCTTTTGCGAGACTTACTTGGCGCAGCTGGAGGGCCAGATTGGGCACCCCAAAGCGGAAATACGTAACAGCAGGATCCGGTGACCGTGTAAGCATCCAGGGCGGCGGAATGGAAGAGGTGCCTCAGGGTGAGCGTGCTGAGGAGATGTGGATGGCGGGGCCGAGGAGATAGAAACTACTCTAATTGTGACCTTGTCTCTGCGTAGGCTGTCCCGGGACCGGCAGCGCCCAGGCGGGCCGAGGGGCCTCATGTCAGGGATGCCCCAACCAGCGGCTATGCGCTTCTGGAGCCGGCGCTACTCCGGACCCGGGTGAGAAAGGGGCAAAGTCTGGACAGGAAGTAAAGGTCGTGGTCCCGGAAGGGGCGTGGCGAGCGGTGATGGGGCGGGACCTGGAGGACGAGTGACGGAGGCGGGGCGTGGAGAAGTCAGCCTGGGTGAGGGGCGGAGCTGAGGAATAAATGACAGGGGCGGCCTCAGGGTGAGGGGCAGGACCTTTACAGGGCGAGCCCTCGGAGCATGTGGCGGGAGGGGGCGGACCCTGAAGCATCGGTGACTGGGTGGAGTCCAAAGTGGTCCTGAGACGGGTTAGGGCCAGAGGCTTGAGCAGCAGTAACTGACAGTAGTCGGGAGGAGGCCATCAGTAGAGGGAATATGGCATAAACACCGAAGTCCGGGAGCTCATGTTTAAATCCTGGCTCTGCCACGTAGTTTCTTTGGGCAAAATTTTCTTGCTTTTGAGGCGCTCTCATTCAACAAAACCCACTTCCTAGGCCAGTGCTGTGTGCTGGGAACACAGCTGTGAATGAGACAGAGGAGGTCACTGCCCCAGTGGATGTTAGTTTGATAAGGGAGACCTACAATAAGCAAGTAAGCAAATAAATAATCGCAGCGATAAGTACTATGAAGGACACCTCGGAGGGTGGGGAAGGTTCAGGGAGCCTGTTAAAAGGATTTAAAAAGCAGGAGGCTGGGAGAAGAGTTTTGAAGGAGTTCAAAGACAGACCTGGATTTGATTCTTAGCTCCTGAAAACAGTATGACTAGAGTGAGAGTCATAACCTCTGTGAGCCTCCCGTCTCTCATCAAAACCAGGGAGAAGTTGTTACCTCACAGTGTTTAAGGGTTTGAAGGAAGGTGAAATATTGAATGCTCAGCAAGTATATAGTAAGTGATCATTACCAGTGACAGGTGCTAATTAAGTGCTTGCTGTTTAAGTTTCTCAACCTGGGCACTGTTGACAATTGGAGCTGGGCAATTCTTTTTTGTGGGGGGCTGTCCTGAACATGTCAGCTGTTTACCAGCGTCCCTGGCCTCCACCCACTACCTGCTAGTAGCATCCCTTCCTTGTGACAACCAAAAAATGTCCCCGGACATTGCCAAATGTCCCCTGGTGGGTTTTGCCCCCAGGAACCATTATAGATGGAAGCTTTGTTCTGGAGCTGGGAACACAGCAGTGAACATTTCAGAATCTTTCCCCTCATGGATCCTAGATTCTGTTAAGAGAGACAAGTAAACCAGTAGGAAAATAGCAGATGTAGTAACAGCCTTTTTCTCCTTTGTAGCACTTACTGTTGACTACGTAGTATTTCACATGCAAGCCCTTGAAATTGTCCCAAGGACTCAGCTGCTTCTAGCCCCCTGGAAAACTGACATTAGAGATTGAAGTCAGGGATTTCACCTGAATTGCTTCTTTTGCAGCCATAGAGGAAATCAAAGAGAAAATGAAGACTGTGAAACATAAAATCTTGGTGTTGTCTGGGAAAGGCGGTGTTGGGAAAAGCACATTCAGCGCGCACCTGGCCCACGGCCTAGCAGAGGATGAAAACACGCAGGTGCGGCCTTGGGAAAAACTGGGAAAGGCTGAGGGTTCGTGATAGCTTGTAAAGAACTGATTCCTTAGACTAAGTTGAACTGCCCTCTTTGGAGTGTGGGTCCCTGCAGAGAGAATGAGGAAACATGTAGCAGTCAAGCCCTGAAATGACATATTTTACTGGATTTTCTAGCCTGAAAATGGACAGCAGATGTATATTTCTCTTGGCATGCTGATTATTTATTAGGTTAAGTTCAGACTTATTTTTCTTTATTAACCCCTTGCTACCTTTTTCTAGGCTAGGGGTCTGCAGAGGAAAGCCCATGGCCAAATCTAGCCCATCTCCTGTTGTATTAATGACCTGTAGTTAAGAACGGTTTTTACATTTATAAATGGCTGCTTTTAAATTGCATAAGTACTTACATAGTATCCTTGATTTTGCCCACACAGCCTAAAATATTTTCTGTTTGGCTCTTGAAATGTTTGCTGGCCCCTGCACTAGGCCCCTCACTCCTACGCAAGAACACAGATGAGCACGAAAACTCAAAGTACCCAATGCTGCTGCTCTAAGAAAAGGTGTGGGTAGCATGAGGAAGGAAAAAAATGGTTTTCACCAAAAAGGTTGAATGGAAATTTGCAGGCCCTGTAATTTAAAAAAATACATTGGGTTATTCACTGGGACTCATGATAACTCCACATTCACCTTAGAAAATGACCCCAGTATTCACTTTGATTACCATTTTATACTTAATAAAACCATGCATATTGCCATTTTCAATTTTTGTTTTTTTTTAACACAGAAACACCTTCCACCCTTTTGTTTTCTTCAAAATGGCAGTAAAAAGCTAGACACCTGTCAGAGCTGTTAGAACAGCGTGATGCCTCGTAGAGCCCAGCCACCCAGCACATGGCCCCTGAAAGGAGGATGCGCGTGTGGGCGCTGCGTGTGCACGGGGTGGGGAGCCGGCTGTCACTCTATTGGAATTGCCATCTAGATGCCATTTTCTCCACCAGAGCACTGTTCAGGGTCTGCAGGAGAGTCCCGTGTAATATAGAAACAACCTGAAAGCCGTTAACATCACAGTTGTTCCCACAGCCTTTCATGTGTTGATTTATCTCTGAAAATGAGTTTTCTCTTCATGCATTTTGAATATTGAAAGTTATTTTTATATAAGGGCTAACTGACTTTCAGTTTCAAGTTTCTTTTCTAACTCCTTTGACAAGTGGCCCTTAACTTTCATTTGACTTTTTAAAAAAATATAGTGCTAGAGGGGACTGTAGACGTATGAACACTGAAATTTCAAACAGCCACATATTGCCTATTAGATTTTAAAACTCCAAAGGCAATATCAATTTCAATACTTCTACTTTACGAGATAAACACTACTTCAGTGTTTAATAGCACCCTGAGATCTTAATATTATAAATACTTTATTTTCTCCAAAACAAAAATAAAAGCTAGCTACAGTGGGCAGGGGAATCGAGTCAACCATTCTGGAAATACAATATGTGTGCGTGCAAATACAACCAGGGACAGAGGGAGACAGAGACAGACAGATGCAGACAGAGAGAAACAGAGATAAATGCAGACAGACAGAGGCAGAGAGACACACAGACACACAGGGACAGACATACATACACATGGGGACACACACAGTTGGACGGACACAGAGGGAGACACATATGCAGAAACACACTGTGGCCCTGAGACACCACCGGTGTCCAGTGACTCCAAGAATACATTTTTTGATCACTGGATTAAGAAATTAGAGTTTGCTGTGGGAGTTGACTGGCAGACTTTTTATGTGAAGGGCCAGATGGTCAGTATTTTAGGCTTGCAGGCCACTGTGGCAACTATTCAGTTTTCCCCTTAAACACGAAAAGCAGCCATAGACAGTCTATCAACACATGAGCATGGCCGTGTTCTGGTAAACTTCCTTGTCACTGAAATTAGAATTTTATTTAATTCGATGTCATGAAATGAAGATGTTCTTCTGATTTTTTTCCCTCCAGCCCTCTAAAAATAACCATTTTTATCTTGTGGGCTTACAGGAGCAGGTGGTGGTCTGGATTTGGCCCCCTGGCTGTAGTTGGCTGGCCCCGAGTGGGTTCATAGTGGCAGAAGCGGTGGTGTGGCTGGGGGAGGGCATCTCGGGAGGAGGAGTGAAACCTCGGGCAGGCCACAGCTTTCCTGGGACAGTGAGGAGGCTGGCCAGGTGATAAGGTGCAGGGCTCGGCGTTCCTCTCACCCTCACGGCTCTGAATTCTGCTTGTCCCTCATATCTCTTCTCTTTTTATAACGTGTGGAGTGGCACTCACTGGCTGCCAGGGGCGGAGGCAGCATTCAGGGTCTGTTGTAGGGATTTGGGGAAAGGGAGAGATGACTGGCGGGTCTGTGGGCTTGAAGGCAGCCTCTGGACTCTGATGGGGACTGACGGAATGGGGCTGGGGAGGGCTGGCAGTGGAGGCAGAGGTCCGGAGGTGGGACTGCCTAGCAGACGTGGAGAGGCAAGCTGCCTGCAGGACTGCTTCAGTGTGAAGGGGGCCGAGGCTGAGGCTTTCAGCGACTGGTAAGACGTTTCAGTGGGAAAGAGGCATCATCTGGGCATTGCTTCAGGAGCATCGCCATGACAGCCAGATGCGTATATGACCGAGTGTCATTAGAGGGTGATGGTAAGCCAGCTAGGAGGTGCCACGGGAGTCCAGACTATGGCAGTAGGTGGAACAAACGGCAGGGTATAAATGAGGGCAAACCTAAGGAGGTAGAAGCAGGGCCTCACAACTTTGGAGAAGAGGGAGGAGTTGGAACCCCAGCTGAGCATTCGGGGCAGGGTGGTGGGTGCAGTATCGCGTGGTGGTCAAGAGCGCAGGCTCTGGAGTCGGACTGCCCAGCTTCACATCCCAGCTCCACCTGTACCACTGCTGTGACCTTGGGCAGGTCATCAGGACAGACATGCATACAGATGGGGACACACTATTCAGGACTCAGGGCCAAGTGAGATGATGTATGTGGTATAAATGCATGCTTAGCACAGGGCCTGATGTGTGGTAAGTGCTCAGTAAATGTCTATGATAGTGATCACGATTACTTTATTCCACTAACTGCAACAAGGGGCTGTGATTACTTCTGCTTTAGCGATGATGAGTTTGTAGCCTGGTCAAAGTACAGGGCTGACCAGGTTCAAAATACATGCTTTTTGATTTATTCTTAATAGCAACAATCTTGTCAGTTGAGGGTCAAATCTGTATTGGCTGGTTGGCCGGCCAAGAGCTCTGTTTTTTCAGATGACCCATATTGTCCAGAATAATCTTTTGTTTTTAGAACTTGTCCAGCATGTTCTTACACAGCTCTCTTTAGGTGGGCTTTAACCAGGCCAGTTGCAAGTAACGTCTCGTGAGTAGACAGCTGTCTGCATATAGTCGTGCTTCCGTATAGTTGAAGTTCTTTCCACGTGCACAGGACTTGGCAATATACTGAAGGAGAGCTGGCCCTCCACTGTGGAAGTTCCAGATAAGCTGCATTTGTTCATGCAGTGGTGGCTTAAGCAAACAGGTCAGAACTTAAGTGCATATTCCCCCAGCAGACCTACTCACGACCGGGAATATCACTGTCCCTGAAGTGTGGGCACCCAGTAAATTCTGAGTAGGTCTTATTGACTGAAGTCAAGTAGCACACATTTGTCCCTGCTCTAAATTCAGCAGGATGCTGGGAAATGCCCTGACCCTTTTCTGCCGGTGGAAACACATGCCTACCTCTGAGCCAGGCTGTTTCGTGTTAGCCCTCAAGGCAGGCCGGTGTCTGGCGGCTCAATTGCTACGGGCCTTGAATCAAGGGAGCAGAAGAGGAAACGCTGCTGACTAAGCCCAGGCCAGCTGGGGGGGTGAGCTGTGGGGAAGCAGGAGGCCTGAGACCAAGATCACATGCCATCTTTTCACTGCAGAGTCACTGTAAGTTCCCCATGTGCCATCTTGCCTCCTGATCTGAAGGGCACGGTCATTAACAGGCCCGCACTGGGGGCCCTCAGGACTGGAGTGTGTGTGGCCCATCTCAGGGGCCTCTAGAGCTGGACAGGGCCTGATGATCTCCTGAAACACTTGTTTCACAGATCAGAAGCTCAGATGGGCCTGGGGAGGAGCAACACAGCCTCGGGGTGCCACGTGCTAGGACTGGAGCCCATGTCCCATGACCTCTTAAGGGACATTTGGTTTCTGGGTTCAGGAAAGTTTTAGGTCCTGGCAGCCCATCAGCACCCACTCCACCTCTTTCTGGTTGGTGCAGCAACACCTCTTTCCGTAAGGTTTCTAGCACCTTCCACATTTCTCTCAGCCAGGGTTCTCTGGCTTAGCCTGAGGAGAAAGGGAATCAATTGGACAGACTGGGGCAGTAATGGGATGAACAGGAAGTCCGAAAGGGACAGGACATGGGATCACTCGAGACCTGGTTTAGCAGGAAGCTGCTGCGGTTTTTCCAGTACCACCACGCTGGTGAGTGCACGTGATCTGTTTTGCATCTTCCCATCGTTTCCCTCAAGATTCACCCCCTTGGTTGTGAGGAGTAGAATTCCTCAAAAGGAAACTGATTAAATTGTTCCCAGAAGAAAGGGCCTGCAGACTGAGTGGCTGGAAACCCGAGAGGCCTGACAAAAGCCTCTGTCGGGGTGGACGTAACTCCCCACGTCGTGAGGCTCCGACGGCAAGTGCCCGTGGGTCACCAGCGCACCTCAGCCTTAAGTGTCCGGAAGGCCCGGGAAGCTGGCTGCCCGGCTGAGCCCTGTCCTGCCGAGTTTCGCATGTCGTCCAGCAGGGGGCGCGCGAGGCCAGTCCAACCTGGGAAGCTTCCCTGACCGCCCAGTGTGAGGTTCCCGGGGAAGTAGGTCAGGGTTTGTTGAGAGGATGGAAGAGGGAAGCAAGATGCGACCTTGGAGCGAGTCACTGCCCCCCCCGCCGAGGTGCTGCTCTTTGGATCCACAAGTAGAGGTCTCAAGACGAACACTGCCCCACCCCGCTCTTCAGGAGGTTCCTGGGGACTGTCGCGGCTCCCCACTGTTCAGGATGTTCGGAGTGGAAGGTGTCATGCAGAGCTGCATGTGTCTCCAGCAGACAGCTCGTGTAGATTTCCTTATTTTCAGTTTCTTCTTTAGAAGCTGAGCCTGAGCCACGATTAACCTTCGAGATCATGGGACAGGGGCGCTTGGTCAGAGCCCAGCCGGAGCCCCGTGGGGTGGAGGAGTAGGACTCAGACCTCTCTTTATGCCCCAGCACTGCTCCCTGCCCCCTGAGCAGGTCACTGGGCCGCTCTGAACCTCTTTCCTCTTCTGTAAAGCAGAGCCAGTGATACCAGCTCCAGGCACATGGTAAGGGCCGAGCAACCAGTGGCTGGACCTCAGTCTTCAGGTGACCTGAGCCTCAGGCCATAAGGTCACCCTGGAGCTAGCCGGACTCGGGCTGAGGGTAGGGAAGGCTCAGTGGTGTTGACATCCAGTTGGCCCTAGAACAGCATGGATTGGAACATGGGTCTACTTATACACGGACTTGTTTTCAATGAATATATTGGAAGAACTTTTGGATATTTGTAACAATTTGAAAAAAAAATTTTCTCTAGCTTACTTAATTGTAAGAGTACATGTAGTATACAAAATATGTATTCATTGACTGTTTATGTTAAGGCTTCTGGTCAACAGTAAGCCATCAGTAGTTTTGGCAGGGGAGGGTCAAAGATCATACACAGATTTTGTTGGTGCCCCTGACTGTGCATTGTTCAACGGTCAGCCGTACTTTGTCAAGTTCTCTTTAGGAGTTTTGGACTGTAACTCCGTGGCCTGAAGATAAATGTTGTTAACTCTCCCCCACAAGACTCCATGTGGTCCACATTTGACCCACTCTCTGTCTTCCTAACTCCCTCCCTTCCTCGATCCCCATTTCCCTCCCAGCTGTGCCCATCTGCAGGCTTGCACGTTCAGTTAAGTCACTGCTCTTCTGGTCTCTCTCTGTTCTGCAGGTTGCCCTCCTAGACATTGATATATGTGGGCCGTCAATTCCCAAGATAATGGGATTGGAAGGAGAACAGGTAATAACTTTACCAAACAGGAGAGCATTCTCTCAGGGCAAACTGTAGTGCCGAACTACTAACCCCAAACAAAGAGGTCAGCAGAGCCCCTACATTTTAACGTGGAAGTGATGAAATCAGGTAATGGTCACTAGCCCACCCGTCTACTTTAACAACAGCTGTGACTTTGGGGGGATGGGATCCTACATAAAGTTCATCCAACCATTTGAGAAGTGTTAGTTTCAATGCTTTCTTAGAGAGGAAGGGAAACAAGTAAAATGCAGAAGTAAGACACGGAAACACAGCTCTGGCTGGGAAAGCTAGACCGGGTTTGCTGGGGGTCTGTGCCCTGGAAGCAAGGGAATGTTTCTGCCACTGTGGTCACCCCTGGGGAACTGAGACTGTGAGGCGGGCGAGTGACACAGCAGGTGGGGGCAGGGCGATGGTGGCCTGTGCAGGTGCCAGTCTCCTCTGGGTGGCCAGGAATGGCCCCAGAAAGGGATTCCCTGGGGGCGGTGCTCTGAGGCCAGCTGGAGGCTAGGATGGTCCGGGGATGTCGGGACTGGTTCATGCCGTGCCAAAGTGCCGGGCACTGTTCTGGGTGCTGGGGTCTGTGGTGAACAAGCAGATGGAGACTCCAGCCCTCGTGGGAGGAGCTGACGACAGAGTAGAAAACCAAAGCAGGGCCAGGGCACAGGCAGGGCGGGGCGGGGGAGCTGCTCCTTGGGAGGGGCGGTCCGGGGCACCCTGCTGCGGAGAGCCTGGAAGAGCCCCGGGGGCTGAGGGGGCAAGTGCAGGGGCCCTGAGGCAGCAGGCCCCTCCCATCTGCGGCCAGGCGGCCGGAGGGGCTGGGGCAGAGGGCCAAGGGGCAGAAGCTGGAGAGCAGCCGGAGGCAGATGGGGCCCATCCTGTGGCTCTGCTCCGGGCTTGGGACTGGCTTCTGGGGGTGCTGGGAGGGGGCATGATGCTGCCCAGGGTGAGGGAGAAGAGCCAGATCTGACATCTGGGACCATGTGCCCGTCGGTAGCGGGGGGTGTAATCCACGCTGGCAGCCTGGGAGTGTGTGCATGTACCTGACAGTCATGTACATCTACTGCTCACTGTGCCAGGATGCAAGTATCTTACCAAAATTGAGATTTTCAAATGGTGAGACAAATAGATGTTCCATTATTTTCTTCTACAGCCTTGGGTCATCACATTGCCCCCTTTTAGAACTGGCAACTTAGGGAAAGAGCATAAATAGGAATTAATGGTTTTTTTAAAAAAAATAAGACTGCACCAAAGGGCAAGGGACTGGGGAGAATGGGAGGGAAGGGAGGGATAAGGGCAGGGAAGAAGAAAGGGGGTATTATGATTAGCATGTACAATGTGGGGTGGGGGGAACGGGGAGGGCTGTGCAACACAGAAAAGACAAGTAATGATTCTACAACATCTTACTACGCTGATGGACAGTGACTGTAATCTGTAATGGGGTTTGTGGGGGGCACTTGGTGAAGGGGGGACCCTAGTAAACATAATGTTCTTCATGTAATTGTAGATTAATGATAACAAAAAAATAAAATAAGACTGCAAAACCGGTCACCAAAGACCACATATTATGACTTCTATGAAATGTCCAGAATAGGCCCATCTATAGGGACAGAGGAGGTCAGGGTCCCCTAGGACTGGGGTCGGGGCACAGTTACAGGGCATGAGGTACTTGGAGTAATGAAAATGCTCTAAAATTGTGGTGATGAACGTACAACCCCATGTGTATCCTGAAAGCCATTGTACATTCTAAATGGGAGAATTAGTAGAGCTGTTCTAAAAAGAAAGACTTCATCAAGAAAAATGGGCTGTTTTGGCCCCTCTGTTGCTCTGAAGCATGATTTTTGAGCTTGACGTGCAGTTGGAAATTGTGGAAGTTCCAGTTTCATAATGGAGGTGGTGCAGAGGTGAACCCCAGCTCTCAGTGGACGCCTACTGGCCGGGAAGAGTCCGGCTTCCTGGGCTCCCCGCTGACACCCCTCCCCTGATTTCTTGTCCCCTGGGCAACAGGCCAGCCAAGGCTCAGACTGGGGACGGGGCAGGTTCTATGTCACCCGCTTCCTGGACATTACAGAGGAACCTCGCTGCTCCACAGTTACCTGCATTTTCTCAGCGCCCCCCAACTGATTCTGTCACACTTTTAAAATACCTTAGACCCAAAATTAAATTTGAACTCAGGTCACTTTGGTTTTCTGACCAGAGAGCTAAACAGAGTTTCAAGATGACCCAGCTTGGGGTGGGGGAAAGGTATGAATTATAGCCTCCATTACCAACTCCCTCCCCACAGCCATTTGCTCTGTGTTCAGAATTTAGTGGTGGCACTTAAGATGATGTGATGTAGTTTATAAAATTGTCTTCTTACCACATAAAATTTGTCTGTGCATGCCTTGTGACCAGGGCCCATAATTTCTTACAAATGAATATCGATGCCCCTGTTCGTGCAGGTTCACCAGAGCGGCTCGGGCTGGTCTCCAGTGGTGAGTTCTCACCTCTTTGTCTTACTTTTAAGGTAGCGTGTTACGGGTCGTGTGTAGACAGTGGCTATGTGGTGGGCTGGCCACACCTTTCTCAGCCCACCTGCTTCAGTCACCAGTTATGGAGGCACTTCTAGGCACAGGGAATACAGGGAAGCCCAGGGATTGCCGGCCCCTTTCTCTCAAGGGGCAGACAATGAACATTTCCAGTCTGTGGGCCATATACTCAACGGCTGTTGTCACTCAAAAGCAGTAATATGTAAATGAATGACTGTGGCTGTCTTCCGATCAAGCGGTGTGCAGAAACAGAAGGCAGGCCAGATCTGGCTAAGGGGCCAGAGTTCGCCGACCCAAGCTGATGTAGCTAGGAAGCCGACAGTCACTAATTGTGAACTTACGTCACTGTAGCTTAGAGTCCTACGGTGCCTCTTTCAATTCCCCCAAGAGGGTAACCCCACCCTTCGCTTTTTTTTTTCTCAAAAAAGGTTTGAGGATTCAGAGTGAATATGCTCATAGACCACATGGTAATTCTGCCCCCAGCATGGTTTTATCAGCCAGAGCTCAGACGACAGGCCCAGAGAAGTGCCCTGCGCCGAGGTTTTAAGTAAACAGTTCCTTGCTCCCCCCTCTCCAGTTCCTGGAAGACAACCTGGGTGTGATGTCCGTGGGCTTCTTGCTCAGCGGCCCCGACGACGCTGTTATCTGGAGGGGACCAAAGAAACACGGTCGGCCACTCTGGTTTTATCTTTCCTCTCATTCTTCCACAGGCAGAACCGTCTGGGTTCCCTTTGCCACCTGCCCTGTCGGGATGGTAACAGTCATCCCACTGGGCTTGGCATAGTGTTATTTTTAAGCATCCAGCTGCCTTTTTCTTCACTGGTTGAAGAGAACAAAAAGAAATACCAGTTTCTGTTTTGTAATTTGTAATATCTGTTGAGTTTTTCTCCTTAAAACCTCGTAGCCCTGAAATTACCTTTCCTGTGGCTTTGTCTGTGGCTTATATACACCGCAGAGAGAGGTGTGGGAGGTGGGATCAGTACCAGGTTGATGGCACCCTGAGGCTCAAGGAGCCAGTGCCACACTGTCCTCGAGGGCACATCCCTGCCCCTTGGCACCACTGGAATCTCAGCCCAGATGATTCTGTCAGAGGAAGGGTGGACCGTGCTCTGCCCGCTAGGCTATTACCCTGCTGGCCTCTACCCGCTAGATAGCAGGGCCCCCTAATCGTGACAGCTGCAGGCGTCTGCAGGCATGGCCAAGTACCTGTGGCCCAGAGCGAAGGCCAAATGTGCACAAAGACCTGCGCTGCACTTCTGTACAGTCGGGGGACTGGCAGGGGGGCGGGAAGCATCTCCTGGGTCTCCCCTCCCAGGCATGATCAAGCAGTTCCTGCGGGACGTGGACTGGGGAGAGGTCGACTACCTCATCGTGGACACCCCGCCGGGGACGTCGGACGAGCACCTCTCGGCGGTGCAGTACCTGGCCGCGGCCCACATAGATGGGGCGGTGATCATCACCACCCCTCAGGTGAGCGAGGGCCGGCGGAGCGGGGCCCAGACAGCGCCACCTGGAAAGGTTTCTTCCTCGTAGGGCGTTGAGGTGCTGGCCTGGAGGCGGCTCTTCAGGTCACATGCTCCAGCAGCCCTGCCTTTGGCTCTGCGGACACCGTTTGTCAAAAACTCTGTCTTCGGTGCAGACCTTTGCAGTTGGCAATAAGCATCCCACAGTTATTTTTGTCCCCAGATTAAACAACAGTGATTCAAGATTGCCTTTTTAATTTCCCTTCACAAAGCCAGCTAGACCCCCGGTGCTGCTAGAGTTCAGATGTCCCTCACGGGCACCCCTGCCGTGCTCCTGCATTGAGTCCCCCTAACCTGTGGGGCTGCTTCCGTTCACGTGTCAGAACGATCCAGAGCGCTCTCCAGTTCTGTGGAACCAGCCTGGGCAGCAGATGGGGGCCTCTGGGTGAGCTGCTGTGTCCTGCCCCTCTGGTGTAGGAGGAGCCAGGCACCAGCAGTCACTAGAGGCTCTGCCACCAGGCCACGCCGAGCCCAGGCTGGGAGGGGGCACTACTAAGGGTCATCCTGGGTGATCAGGCCTGACTGCCACTGACCTTACGGTTCCCACAGGCTGACGGAGTCTCTTCAGTCATACGTCTCTTTGTGGTGATCTTCTCCACTCCTAAGAAAGCACATAAAGTGGGTTTATTTTAGCTGGTTTCTGAACCAGTCAGTACGACCCCTCAACGTTCACCTTGCCCTCACTGAGCACCTACTGTGTGCAGGCCCTAGGCTGGCCACCAGTGAAACAGAGCAGCCCACCCATGGCCTGTGTGGCTCACTGGGAACATGGGTACCAGACACCCAGGCACACATGTGAGGCTCTGCCAACAGGGCAGCAGGCCCAGCAGGCCACCTGAGGGTGCCTGGGTGGGGAGTGCTGGGACGGATGTGGGAACATCACATTGCTCTGGTGTCCTGGGGAGAGGGACCCCACTGAGGTGGCCGAGGCAGGGGACACCGGGCTGGGGGATGTCAGCGTTGGGAGGATAGATTTGTTCTTAGGAATGCTTTCTTTTGAATTTTTAAAAAGTGGCTGGGGCCTACGCTTGACCAGCAGTCCTCTCAAGAGTAGGTCCCAAAGAAATTACCTAAAAGGAAAATCAGCTGGACTGGAGCGCCACTGACAGAATGCTGGTAGCGGGGAGGCGTTTTTGGGGCGGTGGGTGGGGGCTTGGGCTGTGCGGGAACTCTGCTTTCTGCTCGGTTTTGCTGTGACCACCAAACTACTCTAAACACTGTCTTTGAAGAAACAATAACAACAAAAGTCCAGTGGCACAAAGATGGCTTCTCCTATACAACAATTACTGTGAAAGAAAACAGTGTCCCTTGGGCTCGAGAAGAGGGGAAGAGACCCAGCAGATGCAGGCCCTGCTCCAGGGAGCCGCAGGAGGGCGCCCCACATGCAGGTGCCCTTGTGAGGAACTCTGGAGAATGTGATTTCAGACCAGGGACGCCCACCTTCCCAGAGCCCTTCACGTCCAGTCGGTAGGGTGGGTGGCTTTCTCTCGGGATCATCCTGATAAAGCAGGGCGTTTACTTCCAGGACCCCAAGGGGAAAGCCCCAGTGGTGCAGTGAGGTGCAGAGACTGGGCAGCTGCCCACTCACGTTCTGGCTGAACGCCTGTCTGTCTGCAGCCCAGCCTCAGAGCAGCCAGAGCCCAAGGCGGGCCTCAGAGCAGCAGGTGACTCGGACGAGAACCTTGGGCAGCTCATGACTGTCAAAGCCAGAGATGCTGAGGAGCAGCCCCACTTGGCAACAGCGGGCTGGGACACGGGTCTGCCGTGATGTTAAACAGGGCACAGGGTTACCCATGGGACTCACGCTGTGAAATAAGCATTCAGAGTTCAAAAGTGAATTTGATGTGATCCAAATACAGTCATATTCCTGCTTGTCTTGTGTAGAAGGCTGTTTGTGTTCATGATGCTCTAGATCAGAGGTTAGCCAGCTTTTTCTGTAAGGAGCCGGATAGTAAATATTTTAGGTTTTGGGGTCACGGGGTGGACAGCCACTCAGTTGTACCATTGTGGGGCAAAAGCAGCCAGAGACAGTATGTGAAGCAGCAGGCACAGCCGTGCTCCGAAAGAGCTCTATTCACACAAGGAGGCAGCCTGCCCGATTTAACCCACAGGCAGGAGTTTGCAGTCCCAACCTAGAAAATAGTGCATTTTGGCTCAGTGTAGCATATTGACAAGAAAGTAGAACCCTGAGGTGCCGTAAAAGGTCACTTTCTGTAGACTCATGGTATGTGTGACACTTGGCCCTTCAGCTTTATCCTTTTGACCTTGTGGGAAAAAACGTGGCACTTAGAACAGGGCTTACACGTGATTGGCACATTTTGAATAAATGGCACAAACCTCTAAAGCTTCCTGAAGGTAAATCTGCATGTCGCAGCCATCCCCTTGACCACATGTTCCTTCTCTCACATTTTGACTGAAATCCCCGGTTTTCTGACCCTTGGTAGGAGGTGTCCCTCCAGGATGTGCGGAAGGAAATCAGCTTCTGCCACAAGGTGAAGCTGCCCATCATCGGGGTGGTGGAGAACATGAGTGGCTTCGTGTGCCCCAAGTGCAAGGTGAGCACGCCGGCCCAGCACTTTCCCCAGGCCCTTCTTCTGCAGCAGAGGGGGTGGGGGGGGCCTCTGCTCCCGTCATTTCAGGGGGTGGCATCACAACATCCTCTGTTGCTGACTTAATAGAGATTCATTTGGTGGTTAGTCTTTCACATTCAAAGTAGCCATTTTTTTTTAGTTTCTTTAAAGTTAAAGTCCATTCTTAGGATTCTGAAACAAAATCGTGACTCCTTCCATTTTATTTGCCTCACAGAAAGAGTCTCAGATATTCCCGCCGACGACCGGGGGCGCGGAGGTCATGTGCCAGAACCTGAAGCTTCCTCTCCTCGGCAAAGTGCCTCTGGATCCACGCATAGGTGGGTGAGCCTAACCACACAGCCCTGACCCTGCACCGTGCTCAGCCGCCCGTGTGCCCCTCGGCCCAGTGGGCGTGGGGCCCAGAGCCTGGCCTGCGGCTGGGAGAGGCAGTGAGGACGTGGGCATGGGGCCAAGCAGGTCAGTGGTGGCAGCTGGGCCGGCCCGAGTTCCAGGAGGTGCCGGGGTGCAGGCCGAGAGGGCACTAGACAGGAAGTCCCCAGGGAGAGGGGACAGGAAATGACACAAGTGCCCGCTGCCTCAGCACTACGTGAAATCACTGGCCTGCCCATACGGGCCGAGGTGCATGGGAAAGGTGCCCCTTTCAGTACCAGAGGCCCCCAGGAACCCATGGGATGCTTGCCCCATGAGCGGCACAGGGCCTGAGGAGGGGTGGGGGGTGGCTGACCCTTCTCCATCCACACTTGCTCCAGGGCATCTGCTTGCCCACGGGGGTGGTGGGGAGGGCCACCTGCACTCTAAATTACACCCCTCCTCCGAATTTTTGTTCCCAAGAGAGCCCAGTTGAACTTGATTTCCATGCGCCTCTGACCTGGCCACACCCATGAGGAAGTGGGGCTTGGGGAGAGAAGGGGAGGCAGGGGAGGCCGGATCCAGGAGAGGAAAGCTCTGCGCCAGGCCACGGGTGTGGACTCCTCTGGTAAGACAGGGGAAACTGAGATAAGCGTGGCCACCAGGAAATGCAGAGGGGCCGTGGGCTGCCTGCTCCGGACGGACCGTGGGGAGGAGGGGAGGACGCGCCTAGGGCCTGGGCGTGGGCCTGGAGAGGAAAGGGCGCACACGGGGAAAGTGACCACAGTTTTGACGGTAGGGGTACAGAAGGCATCAGATGTCCGTGCTGTCCAGCCTGAGCGTTGGGAAGGGGGCACGTTACCCCATGAACTCAGCCGGGTGCTGTGCGGGAGGCGGGAGGCCCTGGTTTGCCCGCAAGCTCAGGAGGCCGGTCAGGTGTGGGGGTGGGATGGCTCTCAGGGCCAGTTCGCAGCAGGCAGTGGAGAGGAGGGGCCCCGAGCCTGGCCGGGAGGGCGCCTGCCCTGTAGGGGTGGGAAGGGGCTGAGACGGCTGTTCTGAGGACCTAGGGTGCCAGGAGAGCCTGTCCTGAGAACACATCTCTGGTATGTGCTTCTCTCCCAAATATAGAGAACAACTGCTTTCCCCACTTCCTGGGTGTTATAAAACTCAGTGAGCAGTTTTCGCTGACCAGAAGTGGCGCTGCATCTCCCCTCATGTCCCCGGGCTGTTGTATGAGTGGGTATCTCCCACCCCAGGGCCTCTGGAGGCAGTGGGCCAAACCATGCAAGTGGAATTCAGAAGGGCGGGGGTCTGGACCACTGTCCACCGTCAGCGTCCACCTGCTGCCTGAGTGTGGGTCCCCCAAGCCAGGCCTGGGAGGGAGCCTGGAGCAGCTGCCGGGCCTCAGATCCCGAGGCCAGTCGCTGCCACGTCAGGAGGGGCACGGGAGAGCGGCAGGCCTTGCTGTCAGGGCCACTGCTCACATAGAAGCCAAGGCCTGAGCTCTTCACAAGGGAGGACAGCGAAGCAGGGGGGCCCAGTGGCTGCTCCCTGCTCAGTTCCAGGCTGGAACTGAGTTCCTCCCAGGGGGCACAGTCCTGTGTGATGGATTACAGGTTCCCAAACGGCACCTCCAGTTGAAGCCACAGAGCAAGCCAGCGAGCATAGCGAGCATCAGAGACGCTCTGGTGAGCAGCTGGCAGGCACTGTCCCACTGTGAGAAGGGGGACAGGGGCTGGGTGAGGCTGCTGTGACCTTCTGGAGCCGTTTTTGTCCCGTGGAGGCAAAGGCACATAACTGGGAATGGACAGGAGGGTGTGAAGGCGCGCATCAGCCCCTTCTGGGGACACAACAGCAGAGGGAGATGCCGCCTCCCAGGCACCATGATTCTCAGCCCGTCCCCAGCCCCTGTACACTGAGGCTGGACACCCCAACTTCCTATTTCCTCCTCTAAGTCTCATGCCCTCATCCGTAAAAAGGGGATGATAACCATGCTGACTACAGGGGGGGGCTGCAAAGATGAAATGGGGGTGAATGGGAAGTCCTGGGACACGGCAGTGCTCCAGGCAAGCTATTCTCAGAGTGATGCGCCTGTTCCTGGAGTTTTATGAAGATGGGGAACCAACCATAGCACATTTGCAAGGGGTGGGCAGGTCCTCCAGGGAAGGGAAGATGGGAGAAGCAAAGAGAACACAACATCAGCTGGAAACTGGAAGAACAGGTGGCCCTTCTGAGACTGTCCTGGGACCTAGGGCCTCCTAGACCTAGCCCGGCTCCCATGAACCCCGCTTTCTTAGCTGTTTGCACCATGGCCCCACTGTAGCCCAGGCCCATCTGGGGCTCCTTCCCTGTCCTACAGGGAAAGGCACTGGGGGAGGAGAGGAAACCACAGGTGCGCAGGCGGCCTTGCCAGGGATGCCCCTCAGGTGGAGAGCCGCTGTGGGTAGTGGAACCACAGACCTGGCTTCTCAGCAGCACTCAGCAAGCTGAGTGGACTTGGGTGGGCAGAGCAGAGGGGAGGGGAGAACATGGCCTGAGGCCCCTGCGCGGTGCTCACCTGGACGCCGGGCTGACACACGGTCCTGAGACAACCTGCATGTCACAGGAGGACACCGGTGTGGACAGTCTCGGGAAAGCCTAGCAGGCAACGCACGCCGACGTGGAATGACCTGCAGGATAAAGTTATCCATGGAAAAGGCAATGGACAGAATGTGTGTATTGTGTTCTCCCATTCATGTTTTTGTTCTTTGTAAGCATATGAGTCTGTATATGCTGCATTTATATGCATAAGCATTTCTAGAAAGATATCTGAAACACCGGAAGCTTTTGGACTCGCTTTTCATGGTATGACCTTTTGTATTCCGTACGTTTTTGCTGTGCACATTCATCATCTTTTTACCCAAAGAACTGATTGATCTTTTAAAGTGCAGACTGCTGGGCCCACCCAGGGGCTGCCGAATCTGCTCCCTGGTGGGGCCTTGGAACCTGCATTGGTTGCATGCCACCCAGTGATGCGTGGGCACATGCACCAAAGGCCACCGGCTGGCGGGCCAGGGTTCCTGCTGGATGGAGGGGAGGCAGGGGAGGCCCTGGAGGCCCTGTGTTCCCTCTCAGCATTGTTCTTGCTCATGAGGGCGCTGGGTTCAGTCTTCATCAGGGCACACGTGCAGGAAGAGTCAAGGTCACGCTGCCACCAGAAAATCCATGTTTCCCTCACATATTTAATTTTCTCTCATTTCTCTCTTTAAGGTAAGAGTTGCGACAAAGGACAGTCTTTTTTGATCGATGCACCAGATTCCCCAGCTGCGTTAGCCTACAGAAGTATCATTCAAAGTAAGTGGTGCGTTCAGGTGGCTGCAGGGCCAGGAGGTGATGTAAGAGCGCGAAGTGGGCTGGCTACGAGCAGATCCCACTTGGGCTCATAAATGGCCCCCACCAGGTGTCCTCGGGTGTGGACAGTAGGGGTAGTGGGGTCTGGGGTGACCCCCTCAGTCCAGGAAGCCAGGAGTGTGGATTTTAGGGTATAGGAAACACACCTCAGTAAAGCTATAAAAAGAAACTAAGGGGGGAAAAAAGCCAAACAGAACCCACGTGCAGGCTGGCTGCAGCCAAGGTCAGCCACCGGAGGCCCAGGACTGAAGGCAGGGGTGTCAGCAGGCAGAGCCCCAGACGCTTGGTTTGTGGCTGAGTTCTTTCTACCTAGTAAAATGGCATCAAGGGCAAATACCATCCTTCCCAGGATTCTCGATCTGTACAAGGGGCCACTATGAAGCCTCCAGCCGTGTGGTCACAGCCATGGATGGACAGCGTGTGGCTTTCAGGCCCCCGTCAAAGACTCAAGCAGAAACGGGGGCCCTTGGGGAACTGAGCCATCTGGAGATGGCGCCCCAGCCTGGAGGTGGTCCTGGCCAGCACAGGGAAGGACTGCCACAGGGACTGATGAGCTGTCGTCTTGTCTTCCAGGAATCCAAGCGTTCTGTAGTCCCCATCAGCCCAAAGAGAGCCTCGTCGGTTCCTGAGACACAGGACAACACTACGGACGCAAGCTGCGTGTCCAGGCGTCCTGAGCAGCCCAGGGACGGAGTGGGCGTCACAGCGGAAAGGGACCAGGCTCTGCCACGGTGTGAAGTCACTTTTTCAGATGCTTTAATTGTAGTTATTTGTATGCATTTCTTTAGAACATAGGCAAAGGGCATTCTTTACAGTGTGCCATTTAAAGAATAAAACATCTCCTTCAGAGCTCCTCTCCGAGGCCTGCTTCACAAGAAAACCAACAGCCTGTGCATCGTGGCACATTCTCTGTTGGGAGCTTGTTCAGCTGCAGAACTTCGCTCCCGAGCTATTGCTGCCTTCGGACGTAAGCCTAAAAAAGGAACCGAGCACGAGTGTGTGTCTGCACTGGAGAACGCAGTCATGGTTTAGGACAGCACAGTCCAAGTGATGGTTCTTCAGAGGCAGGGAAAATTAAAACAGTGAGAGCCTCGCACCAGGGCTTGTGCTGAGGTCAGTGCATGCGATGCAGCCGAGGGTAGTCAACAACCCTGAGAAGCCCTTAGGTCCCCCGTGTAAACAGGCTTGGGAGTCTGTCTACACCGTCTAGTAGTGTGTACACTACAGTAAATTTTGTTCACTACAGACAATATACAGGGTTCTAAAGAGACAGGAGTAAACCGTAGAATGATGCTCACTGCCATGAGATGCTCCCGCAGTGCTGCGGGGGAAGTACGCCCCCCTGTCTGCCATCTCACTCCAGCAGGTGGCATGCAGGTGGAAGGCTGGGCAAGCCCCCCGGTTCTTTCCCTGCTGTTCTCATTTCCCTCCCCCACCCCTCATGCCTGCACATATGGTCAAATTGATGTGTGTCCAGTGTGAGGAAGGTGGGACCCCTCTAATGGCAGTGAGGCCACAAAGCCCTGGGAAGGAGGGCCCCATGCGCAGGTTGCCTTCCGCCATCCAGGGCACTGGGGAAGCCCACCCAGGCCACAGGTGCAGTGAGCCCCCAGGAGCTGTGCCATCCAGACCCCCACTTGGATCCCGCCTCTTACCTAATGCTTGTGAATCTCCAGCCCCTCGAGGCCAGGCTTCTGAAAGTCACTTGGGCAGGCCTGCAAGGGGAAAGTCCACTGGCTTTCTGTCCTCACACGTGAGCGGCCTCATCTGCCGACTCATGGCCAGAGCAGACCCACGGTGTGTGAACCCCACAGAGCTGGCCACTCAGTGTCTAGGCAGGAAGCGGCATATTCAAACTCAAGACAGCTCATACCCTTTCAGGATGAGCCCATCCAGTGTGAAAGATCCATTTCTCCCTTCTAGAAATACATGCTAGGTTATAAGCAAAAACGGGGGGTTCTTACTTCTATAGTTTTAAAAAGTCACCTAAAGCTAACAGTGGCAGTCAGGAAAGGATGAACACTAAGTCAGCTTCTGTGCAATCCCCAGAGCAGTTACACTTTTAGGGACAAGAAGTAGTGATGGCTGCCAGAAGCTGGGCTGGGAACAGGGAGTTCGTGTTTAATGGGTACAGAGTTCCACTCTGGAAAGATGAGAGTCCTGGAGATGGGTGGTGGGGATGGTTGCCTGACAGCATGAACAAACTTAACAACACGGAACTCTCGCTTAAAAATGAGTAAAATGGTACATTTTATGTTGTATATATTTTACCACAATAAAAAAAAAACTAACAATGGCAGCCTGGCTCTTATGGAAAACATTTAAAAAACCACATTCACTAATAGGCCTCTTGACTTTAAGCAGGGGTCCGAAGTGCAGGGCCCAGGAGTTAGACTTCAGTCACTCACCGTCTGGAACACCGTCTGGGACAGAAAACTGGCTGTGATGTTGCTGATGTCATTCTCCCCTCCCATCTTACAAAGGATGTAGCCGTATAGGTTAGCGGCTTGGAGGGAAATGCCAGCTATCACGAGGGCCTGCGCTCAGACAAAGCAAAAGTAATTTTTCTTAGAGCACATACTGAAATGTTCCTTCCCAACCAAGCAGACATGGCTCTGGATTACACAATAGCATCCGCTTACAGATACTCAGACACCATTTAATCATCACCAGCCTGGAGGCTGGTGCCACTTTCATCCCATTTTACAGGCAGGAAACTAAAGCCCAGAGAAACCAAAGCTGCCTGAGCTCCCCAAGCTGATGGGTGGTGGAGCCAGGGTCCAAACTCCAGAGCCCACACTTAATTCTGCTGCTGAGCATCCTGTCTACAGCTAATTTGTTTTATCATTCAGTGAACCAGATCATGGCAACAGAATATAACTGAAATAAAACTCCAGAACTCTGAGGCTAGCTTATTCCTTCTTCGGGAGGGTTCCCTGTCCAAGGTAGGGTGTCAGTTTTTTCTAAAACCTCCTCTCTTAGCAGCATTATTCCAATGAACCAAAAGGTAGAAGCAACCAAACATCCATCAGTGGACGAATAGATAACAAAACGTGGCACTCCTGTGGAATATTACTCAGCCACGAAAAGGAGTCTGACATGTTACAGTACAGACGTACCTTGAAAATACATCAAGTGAAAGAAGTCAGTCACGCAAGACTACATAATATCTGATGCCATTTATAGGAAATGTCCAAAATAGGCAAATCCACAGAGACAGAAAGGTGAATGGGTGCTGGGGGTTGGGGACACTGATCATTAAAAGGTACAGGGTTTCTTTTTGGGGTGATGAAACTATCCTAAAATTGATTGTGTTGATGGTCACACAACTGAATATACTAGAAGCCACTGAACTGTACACACTAAATAGATGAATTATGTATGTGAATTACCTCAGTAAAGCTGTTTGAACCCATCAATGATGATAACAAAAACCCACTCCCAGAACCACTGGTTCTGTACTGACGTCAAAGCAAAGTCAGAGTCAAGGTGTTGCCTTACCAGCCACTTTAGCTTCAAGGAGAATAAGGTGCTAAAAAAGAACACAGTCCAAATCATCGGGCAGATAATGAGGCCGAGCCAGAAGATTCGTGCTTCCGCTTCTGTGGCAGCAGTGCTATTCGGAGAGACCTGTTTTGAGAAAGCGATTCAGTTCTTAAAACTAGCAAAAAACGATTGCATGGGAGCGTGCTATCACCTCTATTCATTCTGCACACACTTCTGTGATGTGTGCGTTTCCGTGGAGCGCCGGCAGCAGTGGGCTCTGTGTAGGGCAGGAATCAGATCTGCACAACACCCAAAGGAACCCACGGGAACTTTCTATGGCCGTTTTCCCGGTTCTGGTTTCACTCGTAATGGAGAAATACCTTTCTGGCTTCAAAAATCCAGTGGCTTTTCCCGTCTTCGTCTATCTGGTTCCACCAGCGGAGGCCCACCATCAGTCTTCCAGTGACGTTCTGAGCAGAGTGAACACAGTGAAGCTAAGTGCGCCATAGGTAAAGAGGGTCCAAACCTTTCCACAATGAACACAATAAGGTCACCCATTCGTGTTGAGCTTGTACTGGGAGCAGGAAGGGGATTAAACTGTGGTGGTTGCTCAAAATGAGTTTTTGAGGCTCCTAAAAAAGTGTTTGAGGCTTTCCTTAAAAAGCGACAAGACTCCCCTCCCCGCAAATATATAAATTTTAGATATACATAAACTTTACAAAAAAAATCCCAAGCCACACAGAGCAGTCCCCCTCATGATATATTTGCAACCATGATAGTTGGTACCCAGAAGCCATTTATTCAACACTAAACCATGTATTCTTTCTCTAATTTTAAGTGAAGGGGCTCAGGAGTCTTATGTATCAGCCCATTAAAGCAAAGCACCTCTGGGGCCAGATGAGTCACGTGCCCTTGGGACAGGCCACCTGGGACACAGCCCACGTGTTTCGGGAGCCGTGGCATCCAAGGTGAGGGGGCCTTACCTTCACAGACCAGAAGTCGAGGGACAGGAGGAGAAGCACAGTAACGAAACAGCCCACAAAGCTTCTGCTGAACCAGTCACAGCTGACGTAGGTGACGATGGCGCTTACTCGGAAGAACAGGTGGAAAAAGGTGGCCGAGGGGTGCCTAGGAAAGGACCCAGATGACCCCTCACTCCAAGGGCCGGAAGGCCAGCCACTGCCTCTGCCCTATGGTTCCTGACTCTCCATGTTCTCCCCTGTGCATTTCAAGCCCAAACACGATCAGGCTATAGCTCTGAAGACACAGCAGCAAATCAGAAGCAATTTAGAAGGGCCGGACAGCCTTCACACTGGCACCTTCTCCCTCTCGAAGCATCCTGTACTTCCCCCTAGCCTGATTCCAGATGTCACCTGTCCTCTATGAAACTGTTGTCACCTTTGAAGTGAAATGTGACAGTGATCTCAGCCCTCCCACCTCGCAGCGATAATGTCCAGTTCCCTAAAGGTAAAGGTTGGGTCATCCCGCCAGACTGAGCGTGTACAGCCCTCGGGTGCACAGTCTCGGTCACCGGGGAATGCGCGTTCCTGGAGAGGGAAATGGTTGTGATGTGACAACAATGGGCTTAACTCGCAGCTGCTCACGATGAGTGGCCCTTGAATGATGACATTTGGTCTAGAGGAAGACGGTTTTTGTTCACTGTGCCTGTAGACACAGAATAGACAGAACTGAGGGAAACATAGGCATCCTCATCACTTGCTTTAAAAAAAAAAAAAGGTCTGAAAGACAAGAGGCCTAAGGTTAAATCATAGCGAGGGTCAGCCACGTACCTGGGGAGGCAGGTGACGGGTGGGGGACGTGGGCCGGGCAGAATACATCATAGCTTTCTATTTCTCTGAAATCCCCTTTGGTAGAGCACGGGTAGAAAAGACTCGACTTTGATCAAGAAAGTGACAGTGCAAGCCCGATGACAGACGGCAGTTAGAGGGCCACCAGGTGCTAGAGAGCAAGAGAGGGGAGGCGGCTCCGGTCAGCACGCCTTGCCCAGCACTTCCAGACCGGACATTTTCAGGAGAGGCCAGAAATCCAGACTTGAGCACTGGAAAATCTGATTTTTAAATGATGGTGACTACTCATATTAATAAAATATCACAGGCTGTTTCACACTAGCCCTCCAGCTGCCAACTGGCAGCCTCTGGTGGGATCCAAGAGGTGGCCGGCCACCTGCCGGGCACAAGCCTGCTTGCTCTTCCCAGGAAGGAACGTGTCAGAATGACCAACCTGGGCTCCGAGAGAACCGTGCTGTTTCTGTCTCCCAAGGAAACACGAACCAGGAAGAAACAGTGACTTGTGCATTTACTCCCGATGGGCCACAGGAAGGGCTGAGCCAGAACACCCTCTATTGCCCAGGACGCACTTACCTGTGCCTTTCAGATCCAGAGCTCTCCGGGAGGCCTGGATGAAAAGCCAGCCTGCAAAGAGTACCCAGCAGCTAAGAATTAGGCTTGATCGTGCAGAGCTTTCACATCTGCGATGTTCCAGGGGATGAAACTCTTGGGAATCTCTTTTCCCTTTCTGTCTTAAATCTTACTGAGGATCTTTCAACTAACTGTCTTAATAGAACGTTGCCCTTTCACCTTGAAGATAAATGGATCCTTTTGCAATAACTGAAGGTTCTCCAAAGGCAGAAACTATGGTTTAGATAATTTTTACAGCCCCGACAGCACCTGCCGTTTAAATTTCTCAGCAAATATTTGTTGTGTCGAACCTTGTGATCGAGTCCGCCAAGGATCGCTAGGAACTTCTGTTCTCTTCATAGAGAAAAGATAGACTTAAGAGATGCAAGAGACCCAAGTGTGCACTGATCCAAGGTAAAACCTGAAAGTTAATGCATTCGAATAAATCCCCTGCCCACCCACTTTTTTTTTTCTTTTTTTTGGCTGTGGTTTCCTGAAATAACATGCAGAAAAAATTCCAATCGTTGGAAGGTTCTGCTTAGTTGAGTCCCAGTTAACTGACTGTTTCCTTAACTTGTAATGTCACCAGCATCATTATTATTCAGATGCTGAAAATAAGTAGAAAGGGTGCCTCCTGCACATTCGATTATTGATTTAATCCTGTTTTAGGCCCTTTGGGCTGCCTCCAAACCCGCATTCAGTCCCCGTCTAGAGTCTGCCCAGCCGGCACCTTCAGCTGACACTAATGTGGCCTCCAACCAGTTTTCTGGTTTTGAGCGTTCTGAAGGCCATCGCTTAGGCCTGTCCACCGTCCCCTGCTGTGGGGTCCTCTGTCCCCCCTGCGTGCTCTCCTGCCACCGACTCAGCCATGGAACGCACACACACACACCAAATCACCCCACTGCCCAATGCCACTGGCTTCAACTCCACCCTCCCAGGCCCTGGCCTGGTCACCCCTTGAGAGGCAAGAGGTGCAGAGATGCCAGACCGCCAAGTCCTGCCCCAACCTCTGAATAGCTCCTTGGTCTTCCCTAAGCTACGTAACCTCTGGACGCCTCAGTCTCTGCTTCTGTAAAATGGGAATGCCAGCAGCGGGCACTCCCTAGGAGAGCAAAAAGATTCAGTGCTTGAAGCACAAAGTGTGCTCACTTGAAACCGTTCTTCCTCAGAGGAGCCACCCTGTAAATTCCCCACCTGACCACAACTTTCTCTCCCCCCAAGGGCAGACTTTGCATCTCCACAGGGAACCCCCGTCCTCCAGCCCTCTGGTCCCTGCTCAGCCCTTCTCAGCTTGAACAGGTAGTAGTTTCCGCTCAGCTCCGCAGGGCCAGGTAGAAGCCCGTGGCCTCTGGCAGAGGAGGAGGAAAGAATGACAGATGGTAAAAGGGGGAAAGGTGATGACTTCAAGTGCTGTCAAGGTGGGGAGAGGCTTGATGGGCTTTTGTTCAAGTTCAAATCCATTTCCACGCTTCTGGGCCCCAGACACCTATTATCTTCCTCCTTGGAGGGAAACACAGAAGGTTCTCAACTGGAATGCGCATGAAAGTCACCTGAAAACGTCCATCGGGCCACCCATGTCCTGGGACATGCAGGTTCCCAATTTGGTGGAGGGCCTGGATGTGAATTTTACCAAGGAAAATCACTGGCGTCACAAACTCCAGCCCAAGGGCCAAATCTGGTCCTTCCAGTTTCTATAAATAAAGTTTGACTGGAACACAGCCATGCTCACTTATTCACTGGCCTGTAAAGCATAAAATATTTACCCAGAAAGTGTACCAACCCCTCCTGCAGACCAGCAGGGACAATTTGGTAATGAAATTAGGTTCCATTCAAAATACAAAACTCAAGCAAACTGCCACTAAGGGCCTCTCCCCCGCCAAAACAGAAAAAAAAAATCTGCTTTCAAATCTGATAGGCAAAACCAGCAAATCGTGCTAGAGGTCAGAGTAGAGTCACCTCTGGGGGTAACTGAAGGGGCAGTGATGGGGAAGGTGGACAAGGGGGCCTCTGGGTTCAAGACAGTGTGTATCTTGATCTTGCATGTGCACATGTATAAAAATGCATCAAACTGCATGCTTGAGATCGGCGCACTTTACTGTATGTACACTACACCTCAATAAAAAAATATTCGGAGTGAAGCTGCTGACCAAAGAAAAATCTTTGCAAGTCACTTTGAAAAAGCTCCACGTGATACAATCCAGCAATCACACCCCTCAGTATCTAGTCAAATGAGTTGGAAACTGAAGTCCACACAAACAGCACACAAGTATTTATAGCAACTTTACTCATAATGGCCCCAGACTGGAAGCAACTGAGATGTCCTTCAATAAGTGAATGGATAAACTATGGTCTGTTCACATAATGGAATATTATTCAGCTCTAAAAATGAGCTGTCTTACGTGACTATATCACTGAGTGAAAGAAGTCAGTCTGAAAAGGCTACATATTGTGTGATTCCAACTCTGTGATGTTCTGGAAAAGGCAAAGGATGGAAAGAGTTAAAAGATCAGTTGTTGCTAGGGGTTCTGTTGGGGAGGATGAGCAGGTAGAGCTCAGGTGATTTTTAGGGCAATGAAAACACTCTGAAAATTTTAGGGCAACAAAAATATGAAACCATAATGGTGGGCACAGATCATTACATATTTATCAAAGCCCACAGACGGTACGACACCAGAAAGGGACCATGATGTAAATTGGGGGCTTGAGTTAATAGCAGTGTATCAATGTTGGCTCATTGTTTGTGACAAATGTACAGGCTAATATAAGCTGTTAATAAAAGGGGGAACTTTGGGATGGAGAGGAGTTTATGGGAACTCTGTGCTTTTTGCTCAGTTTTTCTGTAAACCTAAAACCACTCTAGTAAACAGACACAGGTTGGCAGGGGGTGGAGGGGTCTGTCTACACAGAGGACGGAAAGCAAAACTGGGAAGGACAGTGTCCCAGGGGAATACGTCCTCTTTCCCATAAACCTCTATGGTGAGTTTGATTTGACACGAAAAGACTGATTTAATCCGAAATTCAGTAGCGTCCCAACAGTATCTTGAAAAGCTGCCCTTTATTTGTTTAAATGACTTTAGAAACCATACTTTTTTTTTCTTTTTTTAAGACTGTCTCCAGCTTGAATTCCTCATCAAACATCCTATTTTAAATCCTCTGTCATCTTTCAGACACTCTGGAAAGCTCTCTAGTTTTCACTGTGGCAAAAAGGTCCAAGGAAAGACAACATCTTTCATCCTAGGTTTACTTTCTGCCACTAAAGAGAAAGCGTCTGAGACAATGTCTGGAGTTTGCTTTCAAAATAATCCAGGGGCAGGGAGTGGCTGCTTGTGAAAATGAAATGGGCCCGCCATGTGCTGATCAGGCCTTGGGGGTACCAGGCTCTGTGACCTCTGTACTTCCATGTAAATTTAAATGAAAAAGCAAAAAAAATAAATCATCAGAGGCAGTCTCAGCTTTGCATGAGGCAAGACTCCTTTCAGAATAAAGCAAGCCTATGGGTTGATATTCTGGGGGCTCTCTGTGGTCCAAAAAAAAATGCATTTTTTTTCAGACCTAAAAATATCCAATTGAGTAATGGCCCAGTACTGTAGGATGCATGAGGAAAATTCCAGAAAGCAGGTCCTTTCTTCAGGACTTAACCGGTCCCCCTGCAAAAAAGAGGACCAACCCCATATGGAGTAAAAATGCCCACCAGCTCCTCTCCCAGCCACG